AGTGAGTTTTCTCAAAAATTGCCAATAGCTTCTCTCCATAGCCCTGGGACTGAAACACTGAGCCAGAAAACGAAATTTTAACCCCTCTAGTGAATTCACTATTTGTAATTCACTAAGTGGTTATACCTTCTTGTATATGCTGTATGATTATTTTTCTGTTTTATGTAGGTATAAGGAACATTTTCATTTGTTGTTTACAAGTAAGGTTTTTCCATTAAATATTATGCCTGTTCACTGGTAATTAAAAACAAAAAATGTGTAAATGCTTTGTCAAATATTTCTTTTAATTCTTTTAATGTGCCTTTAATGCACTATAACATTAATTTCTTTAGTTGTAATTGAGCACAAAACTACACAAAGGACTATCTGTACTCTGTAAACTGCGGGTATCGAAACCCCATTTTTAGCGTTATTAGCCCTCAAACTTACTGTGTTGCTCAGTTTAAGAATTCTGGTGATCAAAATTTGTTTATATGTAGGTATTCTTTAAAGGTTTTATTTCAATTTGATGTTGAAAGGTCTATTTCATTTTTGAATATGAAAAGAAGGTTCGTTTTACTTTGTACTGCTGTTTATAGTGCGTTTCATCTTATATTTTTGAATCCGATTTTAAAAGACCTTTTCTGTTTTGTTTTTTCAGTTTTTGCAAAATGCTTGGTTTTACTTTGATTTTATCATGTTTTGCCTATTGGAAAGAGTTTATTTTAATGTTTTCACTTTATTGAAGAGTTTCCTTTGTTTTTATTTTGTGTTTTACATTATAGTTATGTAGATTACTTGGTATTGAAAGGTTTATTCAAGGGTTTATTGCTATGTTTTTGCTCCCCATTGGGACAGCGGTATATCTGCGGTCTTACAACACTAGAAACCGGGTTTCGATACCCGTGGTTTGCAGAGCATAGATAACCCATTGTGTAGCTTTGTGGTTAACTTCAAACAAACAAACAAAACAAGCTATGTTTTATATTTTGTGTTTTGTATAAGAGCTGATAAAAGGTTATCTTGAATTGTGATTATGAATACTAAAAATTATTTTTTATTTTTATCTTATTTCTGATTTTTTAAAAATGTTGTTTCATGTTACGTATTTTCTGATTTTTATTTGATGTGAAATGGCTTATACGTAGAGGGTTTGTTTTGTATTTGTGGTGTTTTGTTTTCAGGCTCCTTTGATAAGGGTTCATTTTATAATATCCTGATTGTAAAATAGTTTGCTTTCCGTTTTACATGAAGAGGCTTATGTTGTACATTTTGATTTTGGTATGTACTGCTTTCATACAAAATGGTTATATTTCACTAGTGATTCTGTTGCATCTTGTTTTTTATATATCAAAGGGTTTATTATACTTAATGTGATTTTTTTGTATTAAAGAGTTTATTTCACATAGTGGACATATGCGGTAGTTTTCATTCCCTTCGCTTGAATTTCCCTTATTCTATCATTTAATCTACGCTTTCTTGCAAGCACTGTATATTAGATCGATAATCCTGGTTTATTTGAAAAACAAAACAAACTAATTCATGTAGACTTAAGTTTATTTCATAAAATTACACGTAAAGTAAACAATATAATAAAGTAATGGTATCTATGATACTGTACAGCGGATGAAACAGAAGAATAAAACTCATACTGAAGAAAAAAGTAGTTAAAAAGGTGTTTATAGCAATCTATGAAACTAACCGAATATCATTTGTTCCAAAATAAAGTAAATGTAGAGTTGTAATGAAGGCAAACAGAAATGTCTAAATCCGTGTTCACAAAGTAATAAGCATATGGTTTTGAACGAATTGCGCATACGTATTTTAGACCTAAATAAGTCGAGAAAGCCTATAGAAATCGTATTTATCGTAATGTTCTTTTTTTAAAGGAAATTACAGGCATGGTTAAGTGTTGTTTGTGTGAAATAATCCGCAAGTTATAAAATTAAAGTTAAAACCGAAGCCAGTTGTTAGGTGATGACAACGACATTGTGCCACCGTGTACCATATGTACCATACTTGTTGCATTGAAACGTTGACTAAGTAAAAAACAAGTAAAGTGATTTTGAATTGAAAAGACAATATGCAATCCAGACTCCTTGGACTAAAGCCTTTCTAACGAGATGAAATATATTTTACTTTCAATGTTGTGTTAAAGGGTATGTATATTTTGTATTGATTCTAATATTGTATTTTGATTTTACTTTTCTTTCTTAATTTGTAATCTTGTGGTTTTAATGTACAGTTATATATTTCCTGTTGCATTCGTGTGCATTGTTGTGCAAGTGTTTTGTAAGGGCGAGAGTAAGTTACAACGATGTTGCAACCTTACGACAAGATGATTTAATCGTGTTTTAAGTTTAAAAGCTAGAGATGGTTGCATTGGCCTGAAAATAAAGGAGGGGGGGGGAATATAGTATGCAGGAATTCTATGCGTTTACTACCAATTTATTACAAAATATTTGTGCATAAAAAGTATGTGTACTTAATATAGAAAGTCAGTCAAGGGAGTGATTAAGTTACTCTCACCCTAGCTATTCAATTATAGTATCACATGTACTTTCTCGTGGGAAAAATGTTTGTAAATTAGTAGAACAGATCATATTGTATGAAAATAGACAGCGATATTTTCCACTGGTAAATCAGCTGATACCTTAGGAATACAACATCAGTTGTTTTGTGACTATCATTCATCTGTGGTAGTGCCTGAATCCTGAGAAGAATGACATTATTGTTTTTCGTATGTATTGCTATGTTTTCTTAGTCTAGAATAAGGTTATTGACTACATTAATATACTTTAAAGATAAATTTAATGGAATTTCAGGTATCAAGAAAAGCACCAAAACCATATATTTATCTTTGCCTTTGATTATTTAAAGTTTTTCAGGCAAAAAGTGTTTCATTTCGTTTAACACAGTTGAGGTAAGATAATTCAGTCTTTTGCTCTGCAATACATTTTCTGACAAGCCTTCCCTTATTCAACCCAATTACTAGACGGGGAATCGGTGAACCTAAGAATACTACACTTTCTTCAAGAAGATGAGAGAGAAGACTTTACAACTATCACCCTTGTTAGCAGCTCAAAACAGTACCTGACAACATTTTACTTTCATCTTGCCCAACAAGCAGCCTGCATGTTCGACCTAGAAGTTAAGACTTGAAGAAAAATTAGTAGTCTGGTATTATGGAGATGAACATAGGTTATGGAGCAAGGAAATTTTGAGGAAGTCAACTAACACTACTATACTTTTGACATGGTGTAAAGGAAGTCGACAGTTGCCTGAAATTCCTTTGTGAGTTTAAGGCTTTCATTTACAATAGCTAATTTTGAACATAACTGGAAATCGTTCAGTTGCGTGGAATACAAACAAACGAAAGAAAATATAACCACCTCCCAATATGTTATTCAGCTAAACTTGTTACTGTGTACTATAATCTTCACCTCAAAAGATCTAGACAGTGGCAACAGAGAAAAGAAAGCAGAGAATGAATAACAAAATCTGTCATCTGTAACTTCAAGAAATAATTAGATGGATTAAAAAAGGAATTAGCTAGCAATAGTGAAGGATGAAATGAAGATGAAATCAATGGAAATAGTAAGTCAGTAACGCTAGGGAGGGATAGAGAGTAGTAATTCAGTGAATAATGATTATTAATGGTTAAACATTTATTTCTGAACAAATGTTCACACTAAAAAAGTGCAATAAAAACAAAGTTTCTCAATGAAGAACTTAAGGCACTAAATATATATATCTAACAATGTAATTGTTTTGTACTAACAATACATTAGGGTATTAAAAATAAATATGAAGACATTCGATTTATCATTTGTCATAGAGTTATACCAGTTTTTGGGATTTCCACCTCTGCTTAGTAACGAGGCCAAATCGAAAGAATAAGACTAGAATTCATACAGTGATGGCGTGTTTATTATATGTATGGTCTTTTAAAATGTATTTTACTCATAAAGTATTCCCAGTTGTGTAGCGATTGTCAGGAGATAAATGCCACAGAAAAAACTTGTAGAAGTCATAATTTTGGGTGGTAAAGGCTACTCCATGTGACAGGTTAATTCATGTTTTAATAGGAGATGTGCGGAAATTCTGAAGGTACATGAAACTAGTACTGTTGTTAATAAAAGTGGTCAAGGTAGAAAGCCCGAATTCTTCAAAAGTCACGTTTACAGGATACGCAATCATCCAATGTTACTGTGTGAGTAAACGACATTTCAAAACACCAAATAAGTACTTTAGGGTGTTGATCTGTTAAGTATTCAATTATAAATCCTAATTTGGAAAGCGAGCATGTTTGGTGGGATGGACTGGTTATATTATGGTAAAAAATGACTTTCACTCATATAGTAATGATGACTGGTTATATTATGGTAGAAAGATACGGTGATAAAGTTTAGAGGCGGTTTAATATGAATATTTTAAATTTTTTTTTCAGTGTAAAAATCTTAGTAGTTGCTTGAAGTTACCAAACTCAAACTGTGAATTTAAGAATTCATGGTTCGCGGTCCGTTGCTTCAAGTCCGTGTTCTGCACTACGAAGCCATAGGTAAAAAGTTAGCGATGGACGCTTTTCATTAAGACTCGCTGCTTAATATAGTTAGCGTTGACGCTGTTCATTGCCTGCTTCCCCTCTAGTCTAACATTTTAATATTTGGGACAATTAGTGCATATAGCCTTTTGTGTAACTTTGCGTGGAAATTCTGAAGCAAACAAACAATGTTGCATGGGTATTAGGAGTACATTTATATTTCAAATATCCAGTTTAAACATAAAATAATTATTCTTGAGCTAAATAGTTTGACACATTGAGGCTACAGCATTTGTACTAGAATGTTTTAAACCGCTTGTATAGCAAAAATCGAACTTTGTGAAGCTAATTATTCTACAGTATCTGAACAGTCTTCTGTAAACAACAATCTTGTTTGAAAATGTTAAAAGGTTAATACTCGAAAGATGATTGACGAATGACAAAAAAGTTATTATTTACATAAATGTTCATACCTTACCTCTTTCCAAGTATTTAAAGTACGCATTAAGAACTTTTCCTTCCAAATTCTTCAAAGTATGCCAAATAGTATAGAAATCTGAAATGTATAAAACATTAACTAATGAAATATGTTTGTGCGTACACACACACTTATATTCAATGATAGTATCTTTGAAAATATTACACAAACTTCAGTTAATCTGACAAAGGTACGTACAACAGTCCTAATAACAAATGTCAATAAAGTTAAAACTAAAGTCTTTGTATATTTTTAACATGTTGTCTATAAAAATAGCATTGCTGATATTAAAATTTAAACATAAGCTAAATGAAAGTAAGAGATATACATTTCATAAATACTTGATGATTACTATTTACATAATAAAAATATGTCAATAATACTATAATAAAAGTTTGAAATTTGTGAAAGATGTTTTTATCAGTCTCTAAATGACATATGATGAATAAAACTGATTAATCAAATAAGTTATGATATTTATAATAAAACGATTTTAATATGCAAATCAGCAAGTAACATGACACCAATTGTCGATATAAATTCTCATTGGAACTGTATGCATCAGAGCTACATTTTGACACTGATTTTGACGTTTCGTAGGTAATCTAATGTGTTTGAAATGGATATGTAACAGCCATTTCCGACACAAAATTTTCCTACACTCGGATTACAAAGATGTGTTCAGAACGAAGAATTAGAATTTAAAAGACAGTGATATAGCTGACATTGAAAAACAAAGGACTATGTTTCAACTTGACACACTAGGACCATCCAGAAAGAGGCCTGCAACAAGACGTGGTGAACAAATTGCGGCATCTTGTAATATGTGAGAATCCATGAATACAAAGGCCACTGCCGTCCACATATCCCAGGAAACACTACGCAATATAATGAAGAAGGATTTCTGTCTAGAAAAATGACACAAGCTATGTGTCCATAAGTTGTTTTCACAACAAACCCGTTACACGGTCGCATACCTGAAACGTCTAGGAAATGAAATGGGTATTCATACTGTTTTATACCAGTCAAATCGCCAGAAGCAGCGTCCATGGATTTCCATACGATCGGACTGTTCAAATGGACGCTACAAAATCGTCTCCTACTAAATTAAACTAAACTCCTTATGGGAAGTAGCAGGGAGGAGGGGTGTGCTTGGAACATGATAGCCTTACTAGGAGACTTTTCCATTGGAAACTACGCTGCAGTACTATTGTCCAGATGCATGCCATCACGTAGAATATGGTTACACAGATTTTAGTGAAGTGGTGAAGCTCCAATTTCGTTTTAATTAATGTATTCAGCCTCTATATAAGTTATTACGCAATGTGGAGAAAATAAGCCTGTGTATAATTAATTATATTGCAGATAAATTATTTGTGATTCGGAATTACCACTTTAGATTGGAATGATTAGCATACACCTATTAATCATTGTCAAAGGTGATGAAGTACAGCAAATATAAGCTAGGATATTAAGTTTGTTTAAAATATTTTATTATGTTTATAAGATTTCAGCAATACATTCATTAAAAAATTTTTTGTTTTCATAATCATATTGGAAATGATAGGATTACTAATTGGCATAGCCTTAAATTGAGTAGTTAGAATGCTAAATAACATTTCACGTTTTTATAGAGTAATTGAAAATTGACAACTAAACCACAACACTGTTATAAGCCCACTTTAGAGGTTTTAGAAATACTCTAACTATACTTATTAGATATACAGAACTCAAAATAAAAGTGATGCAATATATATATATATATATACCAACATATATTCCACTAAAACACATCAAATAAAACATAATAGTCTATAAACTTCAAACATGCATCTTGCCTTCTATCTACATACGGTCTCTGCTGCTCCATAGATCATGTTCTCCCTCTTTGGTGCTTGTTGCATTATTGGTCACCATTACAGCTCAAGTTGTCAAAACTCAGCAGCACTTCTCTCTTTGTTGTTGGGGGGGGGGGGGACTCGGTGCCTTTGTTCTTAGAAAGGATCCTGCCTAATTCATCAATAACTATCCTCATCAGCAAGAGTCCATTGTATCTTATGCCAATGAAACAGCTCCTATTGATATCTGTCCACCATCAATGACCTCACACCAGCCACTTACCACTCTGGGAAGCTTTTTGCTTCATCATAGATTCTTCTCCATACCTGTTAAGGATTACTGTTAGGTTTTCCACGTCTCTATCAATGGTGACATCTATCAATGATAACTGTCTTGCCTGTGGAAACACAACCCATGTTTATGGAGCTCATCCACTAATGACACTTCTTCCTTCTCTTCCATTGGTGGCTTCGACCAGAGCTAGGGCTGGGGACTACTCAAATACCTTGGCAACTAAATACCTTGAGGGCCCTGTAGAGACTATCTAACTTGGTCTCAGACATTCTCAGTCGTATATCCCCTAAGTTCAAGATTCAGGAGAAGACTTCTCCATGATCTGACCACTCTTCCTGCAGACCTTTCAGTCCCTGCACCAGATACATCTCCCTCCAGTTCATAAGACAATTGTCCTGTAGAAAAAGCCATCTCATGTCAGATAACCAGAGTACTCACTAGACAACCCACGAAGCCGGCTAATAAGTCCTCTCAGAAAAGTTACAGACCTATATAATGCTGATATCCGTGGTCACCAAAAATTCAAAAGCTCTTACCAGCTTGGTGTGTTCCCCTTGCAAGCTGAACTAAAAACTCTAACTTAAAATAAAAGTAAAACCCCGAAGTTACCATTAAGCAAAATGTCCAAAAGTTAAACCTAATATAGTTAAAACTATGCTTGCTTTGAACAAATAGTGCACTCGAAATTGAACCAAGTTAACTTAAAGTTAGACATACGTTACCATTACCCTTTACAATATAAGCAGAAGTGATTCTGAAATTGCTAATGAAATAAAACATTAAATGCAAACAAGTCTGCAAAACGTTACATCTATGGGTTCACTAGCTATGCAAGTCTCTAGACCTATACAAAGTTTAATGATTCTCAGATACACAAGTTAAAGTTGTTTGAAAAGTTTCTAAGCCTAGTTTCAGAGGTAAACCTGGCTTTATATACAAAAGCAATAGCACTAACAAAGCCAAATTTGCATACAAAAATGCCAATTTTATACATTATCTGTATTCACTATTTTTCAAAATCTAGGGCGTGGCTGGTCTTGACCCTTATTGGATTCTCCAATAGGAAAAACAGATTTCCATTTGTGGATGTCACATGCTATCTTCCCTGCAAGAAGGTCAGCTAATTACCAATTAGTGAGCTCACATTTTGTATGCTATCTAAACTAGGAAAGGTAAAGTGTTAGTTGAGCGTATATTTGCATCCAAACTGGAAACATTGATAAAAGATAATTTTGAAAAACAACAACAAAATCTTAACTAATGGGTAACAGGGACATAGTATGGTTCTATACTACAGCTGTTAGGCTAAATGAGGACACTCTTTCAGCAAACTCTTTTCACAGCTCATATTCACAACAAACGAGTTTCCAACTTTAAAATGCTAGAACAATAAAACATAACAGCAAATACTAGTCGATAAATAAAGCCATATTGTACTTATAAGTTAATAAACTAACCGATAAATATTTCCCAAGTTGAGCACTTGGGATTGAAATAATGTGTGTGTGTGTGTACGAACTAACTAATAGGGCAAAGCATTATATACGACATTTTATAAGGATGCATGTTCTACCTACGTCATTGCTGATCCAATAGAAATATAAGGGATGATATATTGTCAAAGTTTCACCTGACTCGCCACTAGAAAAGATCACTGTCTACTATGTCGTCCTTTACATAAGTCTTTCCTACAAGAAGGCTGGTGTGATACACTAGGTGAATTACACAGTTCAATAAGTAACTTGGGCAGTAATGGAGACAGAAAATATCCAATATATCTTTATGCTACACCTGTGCAGTTGTTTTATATCACGGTATGTCATATACTGGCTCAAGTAATTAATTTTAACATCCATATTTTCATCGTTAAAAATTTTGGTTTAAAATCTTACTTCTAAATTGTTCCCTAAACAACATATTTTAAGACTATTTTGTTCTTGAGAAGATAGCTTACAAAATCATGAATATTTTATACACATTTCCAGTGAAACAAAATAATTTATTTCCAGTTATTAAAGGATATTTCTAGAATGAAAGTACAAAAGAAAAAATTATACAAACATATTTTTGTTTTGTTTTTACGTGTGAGGTGCAACTGATTGTAATTTGAGACCAAAATGACGAAGTATTAGTGGCCATAAATAAAAGTAAGCCAATTTACTAAAAATATTTTACCCTTTTTAATGTCAAATAATACTTTATTATGCAATGATGTGCAAAAGAAGAAGGGAGGTTTCATCTAGCAGTATTAACAATGAAAACTATTTTAATCACGGTGTATACTATTTTTATCAGTTCAATCAAAATTAGAGCCTCAAAATTTGGAATCACGATAATTTCACAAATCTGTATTTTTTGTTAAGATTAATTTGATTTATGTTTTACCTACTTTGTGTTATTGTCGTTTATATTTGAATTATATGCGCTTTCCATTCGGAATAGCAAAGGGCACAGCAAATGTAAAAAAAAAAAAAAAAAAACAACCACATTTTTTTTTCATAATTTATGTTATTTTGATTAACATTAATGAGATAATAATAACAACAAAGGAATCTTTCGAGTTTAAAATTCGATGGTTAAATATATATTATATTTCATTAACACACAGGGCTGTGCCGTGGGTAGTGCAAGCGGTGCGTTCGTACAGGGCGTCATCAAACATAGGTACATCACCGTTAACACACGAATTTACCTGAAGCCAACCGAGAAACTTGAAATGTGATATACATTATACTTTCTACGTTACAGTTATACTTCTGTGCTATCATTATACATAAATTATACAGGTTAAATCAAATTAATCTTAACAGAAAAATAAAGCTTTGAGAATTTATAGTGATTCCAAATTTTGACTGAATTAGTAAAAAATAGTATACACTGTGATTGAAATATATTTCATCGTTAATACTGCTAGATGAAACCTCCCTTCTTTTTATGCACATCATTGCATAATAAAGTATTGTTACTTACACTCAAATAGGATATGATTTCTAATGCAATGTTATATTAAAATCTTTAATAACTGGCTGCAGACAGCGAATAGCAATAGAAGTTGAAACGTTGCGAGTCAAATCAAAGAACTTAACTCCTAGCCACTAATTTGATCTTTTGTAACAGCTAACTAGGTTTGACAATTGCGTTTGGATCATGTCTGATAGATGGGATATCCCTAATGCCTTTAGGGATATCCAGACATTTTCCGTTATGAGTTAAAGGATAATGATACGAACTGGCAATGGTCAGCTTTCTTTACTTTTTTTGTTAGTTTCTTAATACATATCTGAGTTTTGGTTTATGCAAGTATGTATATATATATATAGATATATATATATATAGCTCACACTAAACTTTTTGGTATAGGCTGTAACGTTTTTCTCTACAAACAGAAAAGTCAATGTATAGATAACGATAACATTACAAAAATAATATTGTTGACCAAGGTTATTTCAGGGAACAAACTCGGTTTGTACTTCGAAGAGAAACGATTTGGATATTTTCTGGTTGAAAATATACAACACCATGCTATTTGGCAAAACACCTAGCAACACCATGCTATTTGACAAAACACCTAGCAACCCCATGCTTTTTGACAAAACATCTAGTGTTTGTGTATCTTTTTCGAATTTTTAACTAAATAACTTTGTATCCGCGAGACATCTTAACAGGCTAACTCTCTAGTGATATGGTCAATATTTAAGTTTACCAACTCTAATCACAAGACGTTCTTGCTCTGACTACGTTCGTAGCCATCATAATGGTTAATAACGTTATAAGGACCAGGATGATTCATTTATAAAGAACAAATTTTAGTTCCATTTCTATAGTATACAGTTTTAGAATTACGTGTTTCGTGTTCGATAGCTCGTATGTTTTAGTAAAACATATTAATGAAAACAAGTGTCTCTTGAATAGGTGCTTTGATACAATGCATGTCTGTAATATGCCCTTTATCAGAGCACTGAATTTGTGAAAGAGCTAAAGAACATGGTATCAATTAAAATGTACTGAGTAGATACACTATAATGCTCAGTCCTGAAATACAACATTTTACAAAGTATCTGATGTTTATGTTATGAACAATTATTATATATAATTTGCGTTTTACATTTTTGTAACAGTTATAAGTCGGTACATCATAATGTTTGATTCAAGAATTTAAAATGGGGAATGAAAATGCTCAAAGAAAGAATAAAAAAATAATGATAATTTAGAAAAAAAATGTTTTTATTGATACCAAAACATACTTTAAGTTTATTCTTACCTGGGGGATGTGGAGGGGAAAATCTCTTAATTCTGTAATTAATTCCATCACCAGTTGCGCTGTTGCTTTCAGCTGTGGCTAAACTAAAGTCCAATAATCCACACAGAGTAACAAACAAAGCGATCCTTGTTACGTCTCGCATACTGAATAGGCGATTGCTTTACTACGACAAACTCCAGGCGAGTCAAGTCAAACTAAGGCAAACAAGAAAATTGTATCGGTTTTAAACACTTTCTATTCAGGCAGGTATGAAATAAAATTTGTTTATTATTTATTAGTTGGCATAAGGCCATTCACATGACAGGACGAAAACTTACTTTTCAAATGATTGACAAGATTCACATACCACAAGGCCCCTCCTACTTAGTCTGTATTAACTAATAATATAAGCAACATATCAGAATGAGTTAGTCACGTGGTACTTTACTTGTCAGACTACCATCCGCCCAATTCTTTCATCAGTCTCCTTAAGTTATATATACTGAGAGGCGTAACAAAGTTTGTGAAAAAAACGTCGTTTCTCACGCTCCGTGCTTTAATTGGTTTTGTGTGGAAAAGCACCAATTTGTTTTTACGTTTATTCTCAGGAATTGTCAAAGTTAATAGAACATTTTGAGCTTTTATGGATATAAAAATATAAATTTTCAAGTTTTTTCAGCTTTTGTATTTATTAAATACCCAAAACTTACTTCTTTTTGATGGCACAGAATATTAAGGTCACTTCAGATTAATTTACAAAGTCATACGTCATCTCTAAAATGTGTACTCCAAGTGAAGTATTTGCAGTCAAAATATAAAAAAAAGTTATCTCAAAGATTTAAGATTTTCAATTTGTGAGGCTTTTATATATATGAGGGAGCTGGAATTCTTCTGCAGTACGTGTTTGTGATTTGTTGGCGATACATTGGAACATTAAACAGACAGCACACAATCCACTTGTTTTAAAATAATATATATTCAAAACAAGTCAAACATATGTACAAAATTTCTTTACACTAGGATATGACAAGGTTTTGTCATAACGTTGTACATTTGCTGTTATGTTAAACTTATATTAAAGTTTTTCTTCATTACCCATTCAAGCCGTCTCCAGCCATTATTGGTCTTATATATGTTTTGTACATTTTTAATATGTTTTCTGGTGAAGCTCCTTGTTTGTTACCAGTCAGGCTCCTAAGGTAACTTGCTTTCACCAAATTCTGGTTCATATGCTATTAATGTGTGGTATCCAGTTTAATTTTGAGACAAGTGTAATCCCTAAGAATTTTGCTGATGTTGCTACTTGTAAAACAGTCCCGTCTAGATATAACTGTGGTATTTATTTGCTTATTTTGTACGATTTTGTAAATAATATGTGTTTTGTGCGCATTTATTTTAACTCTCCACTTATTGCAGTACAATTCTATTTTAGTACAGTTTAGTAGTGGTTGTATATTGAATGTTCCTGTTGTTGGGTTTGTGGCACTCTTCCAGATTGTAACATCATCTGCGAACTGTGAGCAAAAAGTATGGTTTAGGTCTTTGAGTTCCATGTCGCTAACATACATGATAAACAGGGTAGGGACACCCGCCTCCGGAGTGCAGCACTAGGAGCAGGTGCGCTCAGTATTTACTCTGATGCTTCTATTTTCCAGAAAGCTGGAAACCTAGCGAATGATTTCTATGGGGAGTCCCAATTTGGACAATTTGTATTTGAGTCCATTGTGCCATACTTTATCGAATGCTTTTTCAATATCTAGGAAACATGCGACTGTGCGCTGTTTTTTTTTAAAGCCGTGTACTATTTCTTACGTTGATCTTATGAGATGATTTGTTGTTTTTCTTGCTTTTCGGAAGCCATTTTGTATTTCCGGGAGTATTGATTTAGTTTCAAGGCAATTTATGAGTCTACTCTTTAGAGTTTTTTTCAAGTAGTTTTTCTTGATTGCTTGTTAGACTTATGAGCTTGTAATTTTCAAGGTTATTCGCTGATTTCCCTTCCTTCTGGAACATAAGGCCTGTTTCCACGCGCTTGGTATGTATCCTGTTTTTAGAGATAAGATGTATAAAGATGTGAAATGTTCTAATGCGGAGAATAAAGATATTGTTGCCGTTTAAGTTTCTCGATCTTTTCTGATTCACATAATTTAACTTCCGATTTGTACTAAGTTTAGAATAAGCGCTTAAACCTGAATTAAAGAAGTATTTCATAATTAAAGTGTTGTTAGGTTATGTCTTGCTTCTTGATGTAGAATATAGTTTTCATAGAAGCAAAATTCCAAATTATTATTAAACTCAATGCAGTAAATGTATCAAATTCAGACAGTAGAAATCTTGACCACATCTGTACTGTAAAAAGGCTGCTTTGAAGTGTCGCAATTGCTTTGTCATTTTTGCCAAGTTTCTCGACTCGACTTCTACACCTCCTCACTTCCGATCCACTTCTCTTGTCGTACAACAGTTTTCTTTGAGAGTAAACGCTACTGAAAATCCTCGCAGAGATTTTGCTCATTTTTAGCCGATCTGTACGTGTTTTCCCCGTTTTCAAGAGAAAAAAGATGGATTCGGTTTGTTTTGAGGTACAAGAGGGCTATCTGCGCTAGCCGCCCCTAATTTAGCATTGAAAGACTAGAGAGAAGGCGGCTAGCCATCACAACCCACCGCTAATTCTTGGACCACTTTTTTACAAACGAACAGCGGGATTGACTGTCACATTATAACTCCCCGACTGTTAAAAGGGCAGGCATGTTTGGTGAGATGAGGATTTGAATCCGCGACCCTCAGATTGCGAGTCAAGCGCACGAACTACCTAGCCATGCCTGAAAAAAATGAAGGAGTGCAGTACATTACAAGAGCTTCAAAAAAAAAAAAATAATAAAATAAAAAATAAAAGAAAAGGGCCTCATTATGGACTGAAAGTTCACTTTTATTTGTAGGCTTTCACTGGATCTGTCGGGCTTTCACCAAGGGCAGAGCTGGGTATGCAATTGGTCTCTCAAAAATTAGTTAGATTGCACATCTTCTTAATTGGTAGTTTGTTCCAGTGTCCCGAGAAAGGCATCAAACTGTCAGTCACATCGAATCACAAATATAATAGGCCTACTTGATTTGCTCATTGTTGTAACACGTATTCTCCTACCGTCAAGCTCCCTTAAAAGTTCCGTCTGTGCGTGTTGCGAAACTCTGGTCTGTGTATGTTTTTTAAGTTAGTACTGCTGTAGTAGACTTATAACAGTTGGTGAATGTGTGGTGAATGGTTAAACGCTAGCGTCTGTTCTCTAACGCTTTTTTGTTATTGAAAATGTTTAACCTATCATAGTATCAAAATGCCGAAAAAAATGTTTTTTTCAGATTTTTTGAAAGCAGACTTTACACAGTTATACAATGAATTTTAAGAAACAACAACAACAAACAAAGAGAACTTCTATGTTCCGCTCATTCTTCACAAAAATATTTCTAAAAAGTTTCAAAGTAATGCTCAAACCTACAAGTAGTATGTTTGAAAATATTATGAATTCTTAAATAAATTCAGGTATGAATAAGATAAAGTGAATAATTAGAGATTTCATGGATGTATAATTTGACTATTTTTGCTCAATTGTTTTATATCTATCACTAAAAAAGTAGTTGAAATTATTTAAAAAAAAGGATGCTAATGTTAATAATTTTGAAATAATGTGGAGTAGTTCAACAAATTTAAAGTAGATTAAACAAAAGTTAAATTATTAAATTTTTAAATAAGGGGCAAGAGTTAGACTAACTCGGTTTTTCGGTTTGGAAATGTGGTCACTCTACACAATGGGTTATCTGTACTGTGTCCATCACGGGTATCGAAACCCGGTTTCTAGCGTTATAACTTCACAGACTTACCGGGGTGGGAGGTGGCTGCTCTATTGCTACCTATGAAATTACTCAAATATTAATATCTGCCTATACCTTATTTCGAACTACACATTTTAAGGAGGTCTAAAACATGTACCAGTTAGATTTAAAAAACCTAAAACAAAAACAAAATACTTTTTTCTTATAACCACACTTTTTAAAGTGAACTCTAGTTTTACGAGGCTCGGTCAGCTTTCAACAAGACAGATGTTATCGGCAATAACGTATAAAGTGGCCCTTGATCTTCCAGGGAAGTAATGATAAATATTTGTATTAGAAATCTCCAAATTATAACACAGAAGGGCAAACGAAGATTCAAGGACGTTTTGCTTATTCTGGGTTACTCATGTATAGATTTATACGTATATATAGTCGATGGCTTGAAACATTATTTTATACAAACGATTCTTAGGATGAATTTAACAGTCTTCAATTAAGCATCAAGTTGATATACATATACAACACTAAGAACCTTTCACTTCTGGATTGACGTTTGTAACTTTGTGAGTGCTAACCCCTATGGAATGAAAGAATGCGTAGTGATTACTAAGTTCAAAATATAGAAGTAAATTCTGATATTCAAAGTATAAATGCAAGTAGGAAAAGCTCCACTCTGTTTGGATAAACTGTATAGAAATTTAGAGGAGAATAATTTCCTGGAAAACGTTTCATGATTTTGTATAAATATTTTTAAACATTTTATGCAACAACTCAGTTTGAATTGCTAATTATTGTGATTGAAATAGACTAAAGTTGTAACCTACTGGCTGTAGAAAATAAGTTCCTTTCGTTTACATTAATTTATTGTTACCGTATCGTGTTTTCTTGTGATGATTTTATATTATAACTTCCTATTTTGTATTTCTGTTATTAGTCAATTAAATGTAAAGTGGAAAATATTCGTGGCTGCTCTATAAGATTCCTAGCAGGTATTCTTCAGTAAATGCCTTACTTTGAAGAAGTATAATGTATCGTGTTTCATTTTCATTTAGGCTAAATTCTTTATTTCTATATTGCGATTTCTAAAATCCTAGCGCCTAAATCTAATTTATGTCATTGCAAAGTTGTAGCAATGTATAGTCATTTTGCACATCAGAATTTCTAAATCATTCTTCTTGTTTTTAAGATACTTTGGAAACTTCGAACACAAGAAGAGGAATGTGTTTACTGTGGATTGCGATTGGTTACACAGAAAGAGAGTGGCCCATTTATAAGAATTAATCAGAAGGATATTAAATTTTCTTCGTACAGAAAAATTTGTAGTATATCTGCATATCCTGATTTTTTTTATAATTTTGGGCTGTTAAATTGTGTTTTATCAACGAATTTAAGAACTGTAATAATGCTCAAGGAAGAGAAACTCGATTTCAACATTACCAGCGAGTGCATATCTTTTTAGGCAAACTTTTGCCAGCAATGTCTTGATTG